CCAATATTATAAAAGTCTATATTTATTATAATGTTTTGGGCTTCTTACGTTGTGTATATATATTCCTAAGGATTCTTTGTACGGTGTGAACCATATAGAGTATATTGATATATTTAATTATTTCATTGATATAATCTATCTTGTGATCTTTAGAATCAACGTGTTGATACAAAGAAATAATTTTCCTAAAACACTTTTGATCATCTGAAATTTTTAGGGAATCTACAACAGATATATGCATTATGGGATATTCAAATGGATCAAAGAATTCTTGATTCGTGCTAAATATTTCAGAGATGCGCTGCTATTGCACATAAACAAACTTACTCTACTTGTAAATCCTGATGTGGCATTTGAGATTTCGTCTTGTCATATTGCTCTTCAATCTAATTTTTTTTCCCAGTGATAAGTTTAGACTTTTATTATGCTTGACAAATTTCGGTTCGAGTATCGTGATGATTTGTAATTATACCATTGAATTGATTTGTGACCGCAGATGTGACATAGATTTGAACCTTTTTTTAAAGAGGTTCAAATCTATATTACATTTTAAAATTGATCAACAAAACATAAAATTCGAAAGTTTTGAGTTATAAAGACATTATATGCAATTGTATAATATCCTTATGTATCATTGCATACAAAGCATTTTTAGTAAAAACGAGCTTATGAATAGGTGATCAACATTTTACAATGTGCATTTGCTTTTCCTTTATATATATATATATATGAGAATATAGCCAAATTTTTCCCTATTGAATTGACAATCATTGGACAAATAAATTATATTTGATTTGCGCTCGTCGTCGTACTGTTAGAGAACAATTTTCTTATCTGAGACCATGCGCGTAGTCCTGCCCGAGGGACACAGGTTCATCTCTAACCCCGATGGGGGGTTAGTGTAACAAAAATAATGCAAAACGAATACACTGTAAGGATATCAACTGCTTTTTCCCCATATACTTCAAAATATGTAAAATCATGGACGTAAATTTTGATGAATGTTACTGAGAGATAATATTCTTTAAGAATATATTGTACAGAATTTTGCTAACCTATACTGAAAGTTTTCATATCTTTAGCAGCGAGTGGAAAACTCATCACATTACATTATTCTTATGGGTATGCAGACTTTATTTCTTTTTTGCATTCCGTTGAATTATAAAATTTGGATTCGCTAGTTACATCAGAAAAAATATTTTACAATATGGTGCTATGAAGAATTGCCCGTGTTACTTATTTGCTTTGATGCCGATGAGGCTTGATGGGACCTTCCCATCAAATTTGCTAAACGACATAGCCTCCTTCTTAGTTTAATCATCTCATTTTCGCAATGGTCGAGATTCTTCCAGAAGGAGTGCAGTGCTGCCAGAGTTTCATCCCATAATCAGTACAGGAACAGACAGACGTGGCAAATACAGTAAATTAGAATTTCTTATATTTTCACTCAGAAGATTGACAAGAAGTCAAACTCTGACAGTCTATCCTCTCGCTCCTGGCATCAGCTTCTGGACGAGACCAATGATTAAAAATAACTGGCTTTTACTATGACTAACTCCGAGACTCTAGAAGCCTGCCACTAGGAGGAGCCTTGTGGATGGTAGGTACACGAAAGTCAAGCGCTCCTCATCATCTCGAAACCAGCGCGTCCAATAACGAGCAAGAAATTCTTCATTATAATAAAGCAAGAGGGTAGAATTGGGCGATAAGATGAGTGATGGAGAGTGGAAGGCGGGCTGGAGTGAAGTAAGTCAACAAGAACTAGACGTGGTAAGAAATTCTCCAGAGGTTGCTACTCTCCGATTTGCTTATGTCGTAATGTCTTGGCTTGATTTGCCAGTAATCTTTGCGGTCCTACAAGTGGTGTGATGTAAAGTAGTATCCCGGTAGGAAATCTTTTTTCACAAACATAGGGCTCAACCCATGACATGTCATTCATTTGGTTTATGGTCAAAAATTGTTACTACTTCTAGTGGTTGTGTCATATCTGATTCAACCTCTAGTGGCTGATACTCGTTTAACATTACAGACAAATTCTCATAGTAGAGAAAAAAGCAAGACACTATTGCAAAATGAAGAAATGATATATCATCTTTTTGAGGTTTTAGATTATATTGGGCTATAATAGTTAACGTCTCTAGAGTCCATGATAAAATTTCAAATCATTCTCCTAGAATCAACACCTTTTACAACTCACTTGGCAATTGAATACGACTTGGCTATTATAAATATGTGCTGGAGTCCATATATGAAATAAATAAACTCAATGCAATATTTTTTTTATTTGGTGGTGTCAATAGATGTTAGAAGAGTGAGATTACAAAGTATTCTCTTTAACTTCATCCTACATTAAATCAATTTAGCTTTGTGATTTGTTCCGTTTGATCAAGTCACTTGCAAGTTCGAGCTCTTCCAATGGAATCATGATTTTGCTCAGTTTCTCTAGGATATCAAATAGCGCCGAGTCATTTAGGAGTGTTTATATAAGGTTCCTTTGACAATACACTCAAATCAAACGATTAGGAAGTCAATATTCTTAAGTAGTCACAGCACTCCCGGGTTCAAAGTGCGTACTTAACCGGGAGACTACTGCATACTATACCAGCTGGTGAATTGGAAAGTACATTTATTCACATTCATACTTAGACGTCTATTAGAGGAGTACCATTGAGCGTCAGACTTCATTCATACTGGACACATATCATTCATTGCAAGAGCGGATTGCGACTAGAAATCCACTTCCACACCAGATTCTGCAATTTCCACTGCACAGGAATTCATCTGGTTTCGTCCACGGCATCTAGTCTCACCTCAGTGACCCTGGGATTCGATTTGTTGTTGACAATAAGAGAGATTCCATATATATATATATATACATGTGTGCACTTCTGTTGTATAGTAAATCTTTTCCATAGTTACTTTATTCTCCACTTGTGTATATCATCCTGTTGATCTCAGTGTATTGTGTAAGATACATAGAGATCAACAGGATGATATACACAATACACTGGCTATCATCAAGAAAATACAATTGTCTATGATCTGCTTACAAGTAGAAACAAATATTTGCTGTCAGATTCCATCAACTTCATCCTTATGAGACCAAAAAGGCTGCCCCAATATGATTCTTCATTTAAGAATCATTAACGGGCACAAGGTATTTCCCTTGAATTACTTTACCTAAGATACAACTCTAAGAAGCATTCCATGTTGACAGAAGAGAACCTCTGGGTTTACACGGACTGTGCGTTGCAAGAAGCAAGACGGTCGAAGGACCCACTCCGATTGTAGCCAGCATAATTATAGTTCCTGAGGGTTTCATTCTTCTACACCTCTTTTAGCGACAAACTCAAGAGGAAGCACCCTTCTCGCAGGTATCACCATACCGTATGTAGGTGAGACTTAGCACAGTCTTTGCACCTATAATAACTTAAAGAGGAAATTTGCACATCAGATTCTCTACCTTCATATCCAGTAGATCGCTAGTTTTGGAATCTACATTTTGTGGTTACAAACATAAACGTAAACGTTAGACCTCACTGAATTGTTTCCAAATATCAGACATTTGGAATGAATGATTGGTATATATACCTGACTTTAGTCGATAATATAATATTACCGGCTTGACTGGCATCAAAAGCCAACCTCGCAGTAAAGTTGAATAGACTTAATTAAACGCGAAAACGATGGACCACGTCTACAGACATTACTGCACATGAAATTACACGATCTTCGTTGATATATGAATTTTCTGCATTGATTGCACACACTTTTTCACCTCGTTCATAATAAAAAAAAAGTGTCTACATGCTTGAAAATAAACCTTTCAGACGATACAACTTGTACATTGCTTGCAAGGATATGAAGACCCATTCGCATGTGACTTGATGTGTGAGCTTGATATGACAATTTGTTGGAATCAGTGAAGTCAGTTATCTTGAAATGATGATCAGATCAGTTTTCTCTTCAAAAACACTAGGTGCTCCAGGCAAGAGACTTGAGGAGGAAATTGGGAGTGAGATTTTGAAGGTTGGCTGGATGTGACAAGTTTTCAACTTTGTCCCGCAACAATGCAACTCTACGACGTGATAAACGAGCAAGATAACTCTTAGCACGGACGAAGTTTGCTCTAATTTAGTGTTTGACGTCTGAAGGCCTCTGTAATTGAAACTGTGCATGTGCTCACATGATCCACTGTGGAGCTAGAAGAAGCTAGAAGAAAAATCATACCAGCAATAGAGAACCTCGAGTATTCATACAATCTGTTCACAGGCTTTTCGACATTTTGTTTAGCAAACTACCCAAAAGCTGATCAGTTTGTTCTGAACCCGCGTTTTATGTATAAGATTCGACCGAGCTTGAAAGCAAGAATAAAAGCTTACCATATTTTGTCATTCAAGCTGAGTACCCATATGCCACATCAAGAAATATTCGCTTGCTTGAATACATCCTACATCCGAGGAAATTGATTCCATGAATAAAGACTCTGAAATCTCTGTTGTCAGCGTGACGACATCGAGTGTATAGTCACATTGATGCATTCATCCACGCATTCTGTTCGCTTGCACAACAAAGTCAAGATTCACTCCCACCTTCTAAGACCATTTTCTAATCACACAGAATATGGAATAACGCGCTTGTTCTGTTTGCATGTTGTCGTTACATGGACTGCTCACACGATTCAACGACAAGATCTGATTGAAGACGATGCCTGTTTTCCCAGGCGCTACCACTGTAGGGTCTGTACTCACATGGATCTTGATGCAGCTAGATTCGCATTCTCCCAGTCCAATTCTACTTTCAGTTTTTCACATCTCAGAGTACTTCAGATCTGAAATCTGCCTTTATATTGAATTCCATGATGTTTTGCGTCCAGATCCCTCCATCTTTGATACAAAATAGTCTTGTGGTGTTCACCTGCAGAGCTATCAGCTTGTCCACTCAGTTCGAGAAGTTTGAGAGGCGTTAGATGTGGACGGAACTGAGTGGACAAGCTTGAAGTTTCCGATTTCCTGACGAGGACTCTACAGGAAATGAAGCCATATATCAACTCTGACACGGACGTTTCCTCTCTTTCACCTGATGGAAACTAAGAGATGTTTCTACTGATAATCAGGCAGAAGCAGAACTTCTTTCCGCCATTGTCGCGTTCTTCTCCAAGCTCCGCATTAGGTCCAGTGACGTTGGTATTAAAATTTCAAATCGCAAGGTGAGTTGGTGCTGACATCATTTACATCATCACTATAGCCTGCAGTTATTCAATCCTACTATTTTTCATAATTTCTGCTCGAAATCACTGTTTATTCTATCTGCCTAGCACGTCGTGGAGGTCTTTTCGACCTTTAATGGACCACAAGCTCAATGTTTCATGGTAATCCCAAACATGTGCTGGCAGGTGCTACAAGAGGTCCTTGGACGCAGTGTGATCCCAGAGAGCTCTTTTGCGGCTGTATGTGTTATTGTCGACAAGGTGTGTGCTCGATCAATGAATTGAAGGCTAAAAATTCCGTTATCTGTCCATGAACACTGCTGGGACAAGCTTAGATGTTCACTCATGTTAATCCTGCCTCTATCTTTCTCTTGTTTAGATTGAGAAGATACCAAGAGCAGAGGTGGAGAAAGAGTTAACAGCGTTGGGTCTTCCCGTGTAAGCTGTGGATACAATTCTAGGGTCTCTCACGTTACTTTCACTTGATAATCTTGAAGGTGCGTTAGTTTTTCGCGATGCACAATTCAAACTCATTCACGTCTTTTCAGGTTCAAGGAAATTCCTGTGTTCATAGTTTGATTCTCCCTATTTCTGTTCTGATGTGGAAACTGTGCTGAATGACTTGAAACGATTTTCTCTTAAACTGGAGGACCCTAACAGTATTTTAGTCAGAGCACTGCTTTATTTCTGATGCTAAGATTTTTACTGCTGGTGCAGAAGTTTTAGGGTCAGACAACGAAGCAGTCGTAGAATTGAAGCAACTTTTTGAATTGGCTCGAGGATATGGTTTTGAAGACTGGTTGCAGTTTGATGCTTCTGTGGTCCGAGGTCTCGCATATTACACAGGAACAGTCTTTGAGGTCAAAGCTGAATCCACTTGTCTTTACCTTTAGAGCAGGAGTTTGTGCCTTATGACTAGGATATGAGCTGCTCATTATCTATGTACTACTCTCGACTCAAGTTATGGTACTCCAGGATGTGGTATTTACCATGACCAATTCTGTTCGAAATTTTCAGGGACTCTACGTGCAATTTGTGGAGGGGGCAGATATGACAAGCTTCTGTCTACATTTGAGCGAGTAGACACTCCTGCCTGTGGATTTGGCTTTTGGCCGCAGTTATTGTCGAGGTGAGAACATAGAACGCAGTTATTGTGGAGAGACGTGAAGTTACTTCGCACATTCGCTCTGAATTCTTTTGGAACCAGAATCCAGGTTCTCACATTAATTCACATCTCTTTCCGTGCCCTCCATGCAGTTCGGACAGCTCCTGCTTCAACTTTGCACGATCGTCCTGCGTTACTAGTAATTGCTCATGATCCGTTTATGAGCAGAGTACTGTGGATCGCTCCTCTTGCACCACGCTAATCTCAGGCCCAGCACGCACATGCACTCGAGTTGTTGTACTTCGACGGAAAATTCAGATTTCTCTGAGTGAACGGGGCTTGCGAATCGAGGAGGGGGACTCTTTTAGGCTCGGATTCAGTTTAGTTAAGTGGAGGGCAGAATGAAAAGAGCCAGTGCGTCCATTCTCAGTCCCGCTGCTGAACTTGCCACACGGGGAATAGACTCCGCAGACGAGGAACCAGAGCTTCCCTCCCCTGTCAGCAGTTCTGAAGAGCTGAGCGTAAGAGATATTTGTGCGAAGTTCAACGCTAGCGAGTGGGAGGTAGTGTTGAGAGGTTTTAGGTCCAGCAGCGTTCTACGAAAGATGACAATTGGCAGCCTGACATGGAGTTCCGAAGCGGATTTGGAGAGCTTGGGTTTACAGCTGGGGATAATTCTGAATACTTCTAGTGTAGCGGACTTGAAAATATGGCAAGGGGGATTGACTGCGAGATTTTTCTTGAATCTCGCATCAGGACTGCGAGAAAATTCCCACTCGATACTCAAGTCTTTACAAGTAACTGACTTGGGGAACTCAAACGCGGTGAAGTTTATCGTTGAGGTGTTGAACGGTCATCATCAATTGGAAACTTTGAGTTTATTCAGCTGGAGATATGGTGGAGACCTCGTGGGCGATGAGGACGTTCGGCTCTTGTCCCAGACTTTAAAGCAGAACTCGAGTTTAAAAGAATTGGTTTTACAAGGAGGTGGATATGCCGCCTTATTGCGGTACGCATTGGCCGGAGATGATGGCAACCGATCGATTGAGCAACTTGAGCTGAGAGTCATGTATGGAATCGGGAAAAGTTTAGCAGAAGTTTTCCTTTCCAATCGATCATTGAGGGTAGTGATGTTGAACGACATCACCATGCCTGTGGAGGAATGGCGCTTGCTAGGCGAAGCCATACGTGACAATGCCACAGCGACAACTGTTATCGTACACACAGTCCTATCACGGAGATGTTTCAAAGAGCTTAAAGAGCTTTCCTGCGCTGCTAGCTCCGATGGGAAGGAACCCTTGTTGCATCTTGAAATGCATCAGGGGTTTTGGCGATACAAGTCAGAAGATGATGAAGATAATATGTTGGCAGGGTTCAAGCTTTTAGGTAGTGTATTGCGAGGGGAAATCAAGTCTGTAAAATCTCTTAGTTTACGGTTAAAGTATTTTACTCTATTCCGCGGAACAGAAGATATCCTTCCGATGAATGGAATAACTGGAGAAACCTCACGTCTGAAAAGACTACACTTAAGTTTTGGTCGTGGAGGTTTTCTGTTATGGAAGCACCTGGTTCAGTCTTTGCGTTGGAACACAAGTGTCACAAGCTTGTCTTTGTCTTTCAATCTACACAACGGGGAACCTGAGGAGTTGTTCAGGGACCTGATGGCGCTGTTGCAAGTGAATTTAACTCTCAAGGTAATACATGTCTCCGAGACCCAGTGGGCAAGGGATGGAAAGGCGGCGCTGATTGAAGCGGCCCTCAAGCAGAACCAGGAGCGGGCCATGTACATGTCAGTATTCACTGAAGCCAAACTACAATTTGGAGATGCAAAAGCTGGTCGACTCTTCTTATGCGGCTCTCCTGGAGCAGGTAACATGCTCTTCAATTTGTCCTTTTATTTTCTCGATGTGTTCGAACTAGCAATATAAGGTCTTGCTTTTCTATTATAACATTTTATTTCTTTATATATATATATATATATCTCTGAAACTAGAAACAGAAATAGAAGAAAATAAAATCATACAATATTCCAAATTTTGCTTCGATAGTTTCAACTCATATGGAAAATTAGCAAATATCTTCAATCCAATTTATCTACACTCTGTCTTTAGAAAATATCATATCAAATTATCTTTGAAGATATCGTGATTTATATGCAATGTACAGGCAAGACTCAATTGCGTCAAACTCTGATGAAGATAGTTCAGGACAAGACCTGGATCAGGGAAACATGGGAAAAGTTGTCAAGGACCAAAGGCATTGAGGTGGATTTCTTGCTGAACAATGAAGAAATGCAAATCTCAATTTGGGATCTTGCAGGACAATGGATTTTCCGTACTCTCCAAAATGTACTCTTTCCTCAAACCAACGACTTTTGTGTTTTTCTTTTTGTGTATAGCCCTGTAGTTGAGAAAACATCTTCTCACAAACCACCCTCTTCTTTTCTGACTGAGTTGGAAGGCTGGCTGACTTTCATCTCATCCAGCACTAAAGTCATAGGCCATAATCTTCCTCAAGTTCTTGTTGTAATTTCACACAAGGATAAGATGGGATCCACCTCTTTGAATTGGGTTCACTCTATAGTGGAAGAACTCAAAGTAAGGTTTGCAAAGTATGTGGATCTCTGCCCTCTTCAAGATTTTTTTTATGTGAATGCTCGGAAAAGAAATCAAGTGATTCCTCTCAAAAATCACATTTTTGAGATGTTCAAGAGCTTGTTGAGTGAAAATTCCCCACGAGTTCCCCAATTATGCTTTCAACTCTCTTCCCGACTCCTTTCAAACATCAAGAAGGACAAAACTTGCCCTCTTTGGTCATTGGAAAAGTTTAGTGTTTTTTGTGATTCCAGCTTGAAACAACTCATTCTACCATCTTCTGTTGATCATACAAGATTATTAAAATCCCTCGTATCCTACTTAAATGATGTTGGATTCATCATTTATATTCCTAACCTTGATCACATAATCGTCCATCCGAGCTGGCTCACCAATTCAATTTTGGGTGAACTGATAGCTATGGGTCAACATTTTCAAGCTGAAGAGTCCAATGCTTATGAGATGGCGATGTCAAGTGACTCATACACAAGCAAGGACGGATTTGTGAGTGAGAGTGTCTTTACTCGATTAATGGAAACGTTTTTGAAAAAGCAACCACGCTATCAAAATGTTGACAGAGAGATCCTTGAAAAGATTCTTTTCAACTTAGATTTGGGTTTCAAGCTCGAAGATTCTTTTCAATATTTCATTCCCTCCTTCATCCCTGAGTATGCAAGCATGGAAGAACAGAAGCAGCAAGAAGGGGCGAGTGTGGTGTCAATGTCATGGAACTCTAAGGTTGCGAACCCAAATTTTGTCGGCATTCGGATTCGATGCGAAGATCTAAAAACAATGTCACTATCTGCTGCGTTTTTCCCACGCTTCCAGGTGAGATTGAATCATGAATGCATGAAGCCTGAGAAAATATTGAATTCGTCAAGTCATGATTATAATTTGTTTAAAATGAATTTAATTTTTCTTTTTCATCAATTATGTCAAATCAGTACAATGTCTCATTCAATCGGTTCCAAAATTTCCATCATTGTAGATGTTCATGAGACGCAAGTTGAAATTCGGGACAGTGACACTCTCACGACATTATCTACAACTTTTACTCGATGGTCACGAGATTTACGTGGAACACTTTCAGAGTGAAAAGTCGCGCAACTACGTAGACGTTTTGATGTTATGCTCAGAGCATAAGTCAAAGGAGGAGTCCATCAAATATGTACTGAAGCATATTGTCCAGGAGTTGATATCCTTTTGTGCATCACCCAAAGGCTGTCCTGGCGTGGCGTTAGTGTTAGGTGTGATCCAAACAGTTTGCGTGGAGAAGCTAATTCCGAGTCATCTCAGAGGAGCCATTTTGATTGAGGAGCTCAAATCAGAGTTCTCTACTAGCATCAATGACAAACTTGAGGATTTTGCGTTGGATGGGTGGCAACTGGTTAAGGAGGAAGAGTTGCTCAACTACGAGTATACTTGGCCCGAGATTCCAGATTTGCATTTAAAGGCAACATCCGAACGTGCTACAAATCTGCTGTGGGAGAGAGATGTGGAAGCGGTTTTGAATGAGATCCGACAGAAGCGCCATCAACTATTGGAGTCATTGCAGCAAAGCCTCGTCTGCTTGAACGATGATTTGGCTCATTCTCAGCCTGAAAGCGAGATAACGGTTAGCAACTCGAGTTTACCTCATAGAAAAGACTGCAATCCAGCTTCAGCCAGCTGCTCGGGCCAGGCCAGCACAAGTGGGGACACCCAACTTCTTTTGTTCAAGATGGATCAGATAGAAGGAAAGGTTGATGGTGTATATGAGAAAGTGACATCAGTGGAGAGCATTGTGCAAGGATTGGACGTGAAGTTGGGACAAATAATCTCTCTTCAACAACAACTGCAGTCATCGTTCAGTAAATTCATGTCTAAAGTTGACAGGATAATCGAGTATTCAGAATCGCATCAGCAGACCAGAACGCCCAAGCGACCTTACGTCACGAATGATGTAGGCATTTTCTACAAGATGAGTGCACGTCTGCATCTCGGAACAACCGTTTGCTTACGTTTGATGTGTGAGGCCGTAACTGGGTTCCACCCTGTCAAAAATCAAGAAGGTTTGAAGCTTCGCTTGGATCAGGAGAATAGCGGATGGATTCCAAAGATTATTGAGATTTCATGCAAAGTCCTGTATTATGCTGTGAAGGCTGGACTGTCTGCGACCCTCCAGTTAGGCGAAGCTATTCCGCAGTGGGATGATTTGAAAACCGATATTCTTAAACTAGATGGTATTAGTAAACTAGATGGTAGGGCAATTCGGAAAGGTGGGCATAGCGAGGAGCTGAACGAAGCATGGTTGAGGATTCAGCAAACTCTTGCGCCTCACCTTAAAGATAGCTTATCAAAAATTTTCAGGTTGTATCAGGTGAAGTACGAAAATGGTGGGCATGCATGGGTGTGCGAGGAGTGCATGAGAAAAGGTCGTCTTTCTAGAATCCTGTGAGCACTTGAAAGAGGTTAGAATGTCATTATGCAATTGGCATGCATATGTTCAGACCCTCTTGCAATATAAACCTTTGCATGATATTCCTTGTATTTTTCACTGGTACAGGCCTTTTATAAGTAATCATGTCATATCCGCGCAGTTATGTTTCTGAAGAAGATCACTGTTTGCTTAAACTATCAAGAATCCTTTTTGAGGGCAGAGTGTTCTCACCATGATGACATACTTTCTATTCAAACGTGGGGTTGGTTATCTTGAATTTCGATACATTTACCTCAATGAATATATTCAGGAGTGAATGAGCCAACCGGCGGATCCGCCATCAGACGCCCGCCAGCCTTGCCAGCCTGCCCTGAATGCGATTCCGCAGGTTTCAATGAAAGACTACTAGTTCATCCCCTGCTCGTTGCCTCCCCGTGCGACAACAACCTACGGCCTGAACTACAGCATCACTCTTGAAGCTCATTGCGAATACTACGAAGACAGCTCTTGCCGTGATCCATTTGGCATCTAGAAATCGAGACTGGTAGTATAAGCAATTGGTGCTAAGTTCAGATCTGGACTGAAAACTAATACGATTGAAACCTAATAAGACTGTAATATCAAGATTTTTCACGATATGCTTCCAGCTCGACTCTTCGCCTTCACTTACCCCTAGTTCTCAGTGCTTCGCTAATGTTGATCCGGATATTCGTCTGCAGGGATGGTTGAAACCATACTCCGCCTTCTGTTTCTTGAGAGATTTATTCGGAACATCAGATCATTCACAATGGGGTCGATCTGCAGTTTTTTCTAACGAGAAGGTATCCTCGAATTCGATCGAATCCTCCTCTCTACTGAGGTAGTTTGTCGCTTGAAACATATAGAGGCCATGACTTTCAGTATCGTGAAATATGTATCCTTTAGAGAAGTAGATGTTTACAACCTATGTGGATGTTGTATTGCAGCTCGAACGTCTTACTGCACCTACTAGCCATCACTACTCAGCACTTGCCTTCAATTACTACCTCCAATATCACGTGCATACAAATTAGCCGCTACTGCCCTTTCCCGGCCATGCTGTACTCGAGATTGGGTGGACTGAGTCGGTTTCGGGTCAAGCCGCCTTCACGACGTTCGATCCATACAATCAGTCCCTGTAATCGGATCCATTTAAAATCAGCCGGGTGTACTGGAACAGAAGCGGAGGACGTGATTACACATTCGTTGCACAGAAGCGAGGACGTGATTACACATTCGTTGATTGAATGCAGAAATCATTCCACAAATCGCCACCTCCGAGCTAGCGTCATCCGCCATCGCGAATCCGGGACAAGAAATGCTAGACGAAAAGGCCGCCCGGTCTCGTCTTGGGCGGGAAGCTCGAAACGCGAAACCCCGGGTGACGGTGAAACCCACGGTATACGTACACCGTTCGTTTGTAACGAACGGTGTACGTATACCGTCAGACCGGAGAGCATTAAATCGGGGTTGTTCTAGCCAGAACCGATATAAGATCGCCTCTTCCGCTTCCCGGTACATTTATCACCTCCAGTTAATTTGTCCAATTAGAACTTCTCCCAGAACATAATGAGAACAGCACAGTCCAGAGTTCAAATACGCATCGTATCGCTTAAAATTCGTAGTACAGTACAATTCTGTAGTCGTATGAGACAATCGACGATCTCATGTCGATAATACGAACTGGTCAAAGCATGCCGACCAATACATACTAACCAGAGGGGCGGGGACGAACCACCAGATGGCATGCGCATGTCATGCCATGTGGTCGGGAAGTTTGTCGTTCGGACATGACGGAGACGGGCAGACGAGCAAAAGCGAACGCAGGGCTGTCGAGGGATTCGGCACCGGAGCCCAAAGATGCTGAAGCAAAGCGCAGGTGCAGGAGAAGATTGCCCTCTTCCTTCGCCTCTCCAGCTCGCGCATACGCCAGCGCCAGGTGGGATCGCGCAATTCGGACACACACGAGGGCCCGAGGGAGGGAGGAAGAGCGAGAGTGAAAGACTAATTGGGTGAGCGAGTGGAAGAGCGCAGCATCAAAAGCTGGTCCTAAAGTGAACCGAAAGCGGTGAGTTGCTTTGACTTAAATCCAAACCTCGGCACAGATGTTCTCCTGCTAGCAACTCTTAGCAACTCTTCTCTCTCTCTCTCTCTCTCTCTCTCGATCGTCTCGATCGATCTGAGCTGATCTCGCTCTCGCGGTATTACAGCGAGAGAGGTCGGTCGATCGAGAGCGGAGCTTGGAGGAAATTCTTGGAGCCGAGGCGCGATCGACATCGTCGGGGCAGCGGTAGGAGGAGAGAAGGAAGGAGATGGGCAAGAGCGGGGTGATGAAGATGGCGGTGCTGGACGGGATCATGTCGTTCTTCTGGACGCTGATAACATCGTCGATAGGGGCGGCGGCGTTCGTGATCGAGAGGTACACGCAGTACGAGGGCGATCGGACGCCGATCGTGTACGCGCTGGTGCTGGTGGTGAACCTGGTGTTCGTCGAGTTCTCGTTCAAATTGGGCGGGCCGGCTTGGAACCCGACGGCGCCCGTTGCCTTCTACGCCGCGGGCGCCAGCGACGACACGCTGCTGACGCTGCTGGTGCGCATGCCCGCCATGGCAGCGGGCGCGGCCGCGGGGGTGCTGACCGCGACCAGCCTCATGCCGGCGCCCTACCGGCCGCTCATGGGGTCGGGCCCCAACTTGAAGACCGACCTCTGGACGGGCGCTCTGGCGGAGGGCGGCCTCACATTCGCCATCAATCTCATCGTGCTGTATGTCGTTCTGCGCGGGACCAGCAATCGGTTCCTGCAGACGCCTTTGATTGTGGCCTGCGCTCTGGTTCTCGTGCAGCAAGGCGCCAAGTACACGGGCCCTGCCATGAATCCTTCCGATGCCTTCGGCTGGGCCTACCTCAATAAGACCAGTTCGGTGTCCGAGCAGCTCGTGGTTTATTGGCTCTCTCCCCTGCTCGGGACTGTGGAAGCTGCCATGGTTTTCCGAGGTGGGTTCGGGTCCAGACTTGAATCCCATAATTGCAGCCTCCAATCCCACCGTAACATTGATGTGAAGATGGCGCCGGGTCAGTTGATTTTAGTTCTAGCATGTTTTCTCATTGGATTTTCTTCAACGAATTCATCAAAGATTTATCACCGTCGAGAGGGATTGTTGCATGATGATGAAACCGACTCCAGCTCCCATGGGTTATCACACGCTTCGTTTTTGGAACTAAGCTTGGGGTAAGTGAACTCCGGCTCCACTTTAAAAAACATATTTTCCAGATTGTGATCAAAGTTCCCAGAATGAGCAAATGAAACCTCGTTTTACCAAATAGTCTATTCTGCTTCAGATTGAGTTATGCTGTTAAGTTTCTTTTTCAGGGAGGCTGATGCTCTTCTCGCCTTCAAGGACGGGATCGGGAACTATTTGGAGGGTGCGCTGGATGATTGGACTCCTGGCAAGCGATCAGAGTACTGTTCGTGGACCGGAGTCACTTGCAATCGTCAGCTGCATGTTACTGCTCTCAACTTGTCTTCGCTGGATTTGACTGGCTCGTTGGGCCCTTCCTTGGGCAATCTTTCGCACCTGGAAGAGCTCCATCTGGATCAAAACTTTCTGCACAGCAAGATTCCTCCGGAGTTAGGACGGCTCTCGAGGTTGCGAATCCTGAACCTGGAAGAAAATTGGCTCTATGGAAGCATTCCCAAAGAGCTGGGAAATCTGACAAGCCTGCAAGTACTGAACCTTGGCTCTCAGGGATCGTGGTTGAATGGAACAATTCCAGAAGAGCTCGGGCAGCTCTCGGAACTACGGTTTCTGAATCTCGGAGCTGTGAATAATTGGTATGCGGAGAAAGCCTTTTGGATGACCGCAACAAATAAACTCAGAGGCACAATTCCCAGTTCCCTAGGAAACTGCACAAAGTTGTGGTACTTGGATTTCTACGGCAACGAACATCTTACAGGTGTGATCCCAAAGGAGCTTGGAAAGCTTATACACCTGAAGTATCTCAGTTTTGAGCGAAATAATCTCACAGGAGCTGCACCACATCAACTGGGGAATTTGACCAAATGCAAATACCTTCTTCTTCGAAACAACTCACTGCAAGGGCATCTACCCGTGGGACTTGCAAATCTGTCTCGGCTCCTCGCACTCGATGTGGGCTTCAACATTTTCACTGGAAATCTGGTCCATGTCAGCTCCACATCATGGTCTGAATTAGTATATCTCTCTGCACATTATAATTCATTCACTGGAACATTTCCTGAGCTCCTTTTCTCTTGTAGCAACTTGAAATTATTGTATCTCAGCTACAACAACTTCAGTGGTAATCTGCCTGCGGACCTTGGGAGGCTGTCAAGTGCGAGGATGATATTCATGGAGGAAAACATGTTCGGAGGAGGGATCCCTGAATCTTTAACAAACATCAGCTTTCTCGCCCATCTCTCGCTCTCCAACAACAAGTTCACTGGTCCTTTGGATGCACTGAGAAATTCAACGAACCTGCAAGTTTTGAATTTGGGAAGTTCAGGTTTGGTCCAGAATAAATTCACGGGAAGTCTGACAAATGCGATGGTGAGGTGGTGGCCAAAAATGAAATATTTGTACCTCTACAACAATGCTCTGATGGGAAAGCTTCCCAGAGCCCTAGGTAATCTGACCCAACTTATAGGTTTGGCTTTATATACAAACAAGTTTGATGGAGGCATTCCTGAGGAGTTGGGAGACATGCAAAAGTTGAAATATTTGTATTTGCAAGACAATGAGCTCACTGGAAAGATTCCCTCTAGCTTGGCGAACCTGCAGGATGTCATATCTATCTACTTGGGAAATAACAATCTAACAGGATCCATACCCCAGCAGTTGGGCAACCTCACCAAAATCTTACACTTGAGTCTACACACAAACAATCTGACTGGGGAGATTCCACCGGATTTAGGTAACCTACAGACCTTGGAAATACTATACCTAGTCAACAACAATCTCATAGGCAATATTCCAGTTACACTAAGCAACTGCAGTGCCCTGAAGCAGATGAGACTGAGTTACAATTCTCTGACAGGGCACATAACTCACATAAATTTCATAGGATTGGAAAATCTATGGATCTTGGCTCTCAACGGGAACCAATTGACTGGGCTCTTTCCCGTCACATTATGGAACTGCTCGAATCTGGAATTGTTGGATTTGAGTAGTAACCATTTGTCCGCGGTGCTGCCAAAATTCAATGTCCTTAATTTGCAGCTGGATCAACCACAAGTTTACCCCCTCAGGGGATTGAAAGTGTTGAGTCTGAGGTCCAACTTCTTCAGTGGCTCCATACCTTCTTCAATCTGGAAGCTGCCCGCACTGCAAGTACTTGACCTTTCTTTCAACTCGTTCACAGGTGTATTGCCTCAGGACCTCTCAGGATTAGTTACCTACAAGCTCCCCGCTGAGAGGAAACTCCAGGAAGCAGAGCGGCGTCTATACAAAACGCTTACAGTAGAAGATATTTTTGAGGCAATATCACTCAGAAAAGCAGAGAACACTTTGCTGTACGTTGACGTGCAGCATGCAATGGCGTTGTTGGATATTTCTGTTGGATATTTTCAACTTACTGGAGAACTACCCGCGGAGCTGGGCACATTGCACCGTCTCACGACTCTATTCATGGCAGACAACAATTTCGAGGGATCTATCCCCGCCGAGCTGGGAGAAATTCCTGACCTCTTGGAGCTGGATTTATCGAAAAACCAGTTATCTGGTCCAATCCCAATGTCACTGAGCAGACTACGCTTGGGTTACCTTAACTTGTCGCTAAATCAACTATGTGGTCCCATTCCTATTGCAGAATCATTCGACACGCGCTTCTTTGGATCTTTTCAGCCTGGCAATCCCAAACTGTGTGGAGATTCCATAGACAAGCCCTGCGAATCTTTTGCATTTAGTTGCAATGGTCATCTTGATCCTGGTACTGTCACTCAACAGGAAAAGTCATGGAGTTTGTATTTTCATGGTGAGTTCGTGACGGCCTTTGCAGTAGGAGCTTCAATTGGGTTCTCAACTGTCATCGGTCTGATCACTCTTATACCAACCTTCAGAAACAGGTTTTTATTTCAAAAATATCCAACTATAGATCATTCTCAATCTGACTACGGTCTCTTCCGCCGGCCTACTTAGATCTACGTATTGTCTGGTAATAAGTTTTCAGTACTGTACAAGAATCCATACGACAAATTCCTATAGCTTAGGCTTGTAGCACGTGGGCTTAAGTAGAATCTTGTAACATAGCCAGCTTGCGAGTGCAGATTACGAGATTGTGCAACAAAGAGCAGTGAGCTCTTTCTTTCCATTGTTTGAATCAAGTTGATAATATTGCAATAAAGATAATGAGAAGTGCACCGGTTAATAGTTGAGGTCTAGTCATGGAAATTTATTTTCAAATCAAATAAATGTGTATGTAGAGTAGCTTAGCTTACCATAGGGGAATCGATGGATGAATTGGACCCAACCATGTGAGTATGTGGATAGCAGATTTAAATATATGATCATAGAAAGCACTTAAACCTCGAACACATGGTTGAAGTTGCAATGATGTCTATAGCTATGTTATATAATTTACACTTTGCGAAAGTGTGGTATACTCAATTGTTATTTGACTAGGTATAATCTTCGTTCATAGTTTGAGGTTTCGATATTGATTTCATAAATTATTCTAAAGACCTGTTTTCATCTTACTTGCACAATTAAGTAGATTGTTGCATTTACGTAAGTGTTGAATAAATTTATCCCACACATGAATTTATGAATTACTCATAAGTTTAGATGTGAAATTTTATGATCAAATCACCTGAATGTATTTTGTTATGAGTTATTAAAACAAATTGGATTGCGAGAATATATCCAAGAGAATAAACGATATCTTGCTCATAATATATAGTAGAAAAGCATAACATGGCTCATATACAAATATTTAAAAAATTTCATTCAAAATGTTAATCATGATAATTCAGCGGGGAGCCTGTGATACATTATAGGCTTCGCCAGTCGGATGTATCATACTAGCAAAAAATTTGTATGATTTTGCATGTACAAAATCAAACAAAGAACTCCTGAAAATGGCTCTGACATTCCCCGATTAACCATTGCTTTAAGCGTCCTTACGGATATTTGTTTGGCATGATTTTTCTTTAGCATGAGTTTTGTTAACTGCTCGAGTATGTGTCTTCGATGAGTAAATAGTCCGTTTGCTGGAACATTCAACACAGTTTCTACTCCTGAGTCTTAATAATCGGAAGCTCGTTTGCCCTCTTATTCTACTGTGATCCTTACTATCATCCAGTATTTTCCAGGCAGTAGGATCCCGGTTCAATGGTCTCTGATCCATCCGCGAACTTTCTGAGAACATGTATTACACAGTATTCTACACGCATCAAGTTCATAAGCTCGCTGACTTGTAGTAGAAGTTGTTATTTGCTAGTCTCATCCGAAGGCAACTGAAACATCCTACTGCATCTACATCTCGTCTCTACACATGTCGCATCTGTGTTTTTAATTATACAGTTATAGATTTTTAGCTGCTGTCTTGCCCATCGGGTTCTAAGACTAATGGTGATGATGAAGGACTCAAGTGCAGCAGATATGAGAATTGGAAGATTATTGAGAGTATTCGAGTACTGGCATACAAACATAATAAGGAGAGAGATGTTACTCTTGAGGAACATGAGGTCTTTGCTTTGAGGACGAATTTAATTAAAACCGTGGAAGCTAAGTTTTTTACTTGAAACATTATTTATTCAGGCAGTTTTCAATTTATAAAGAACATTGCAAATTTATAGTATCATTACGAGAACAAGGAGATGGTGATCCTGAAGGTGAAGAATATGCTGGACATCATAATGCCGAGTTGCCAATTCAAATCCATCAGGGACGCATACACAAGCCCGACGGGACCAAGGCCAACTACAGACGCATCGACGTCAAGGTAAGCACCAGCAACAGTATCGTGAGGCATTTCACGGGCTTCGAGCTGAAACGCTGGGCTCCCACCGCCGCTGATCTCAGAGTCACGCAGATCCATAACGTCCAGTAGATGAGAAAGGGCGTAGTGCTGGAGCACGTCCGCGTGCCCGAGCTCATGTACGTGCGCTTCCGACGTTTGCCTCGACTGCCTGTGGTACCCCACTTTTGATATTTTTGCGGAATTTAAAACATTTTTGGGAAATTGTACCACGGCAACAGTGTAAATAGCTATTGGTGCATCAAAATAGAGTGAAACTGGATGATCTCGGAGAATCTCGTAGAATCCAGGAGTTGGGCGCAACGTCTGGGACAGACGCCGCCCTAAACGACGGGCTCTCAATGAGTACCCCTTTGGCGCAAGGCGCATAATCCGCCTTCGGCGCTACGCCCTCGGCGCTAGAGGAATCCCTCAGAATCTAAGCAATTCCCAAACGCCTTGACTTGGTTAGGGTTTCGTTGGAAAGAGCTTGACGCGCTGGTTCTAACGAGCCCAAGAACGCCCGGAACGGATCAAGACTGAGGGAGTTGTGACGGTCGAAAGATACATAGACCTTCGCCTACGCATAGGCAAGGGAAGTTTGCCTACGCATAGGCGAAATAGGGTTTGACGTCGGCGGGGAGTCCGCCGAGAATGCCGCCTACGCATAGGCGGGGAGGACTTGCACCTACGCATAGGCGAACGGAAATCGCCTACGTATAGGCGCTTCGGCGTCGGCGGGAAGTCCGCCTTCGGCCCTAGAAATCCGCCTTCGGGGTTGGAACTTGTACAGCGCCTTCGGCGCCAGCGCATCACGGTTGGGCGAGCACCCAACGGAGTAGTAAAATCCGTACGGACCATACGGACTGTACGGACGAGTGCGCCTTCGGCCGGTCGGGGTTACGGAGACAAGAGCGCCGACGGAGAGGCGAGAGAGATGGACAGACTGGACGGAGTGCGTTGACCGCGGTCAACGCCTTCGGCACAGCCGCCTTCGGCGCTGCGCCTACGGCGAGGGACCTGCACGGACAACGTCCTGTGTGCGGACGGAATTCGCCTACGCATAGGCATAGCGCGTCGGCGAGAAATCCGCCTTCTGCGCTGCGCGACCATGGCCGCGGCGTGGTACGCTGGCGGAGTTCAAATTACCAATTCGAGCGTGTGAGTGAAGTCGGCGTCGGCGGAGCGTGAAGCCGCGCGTGAAAGAGAAGGCCGTTAAACCGCGGAGCCGGCGCGACCATCAAGTGATTCGACTTTCACGACCGAGATCCTGGCACACCCGGATCTTACCCGTCAGTTTCTTGGGCACGATTACGATAGGCGAAACCCACTCGCTACTGAGTACCGGATAGATGATCCCTGCGCTCAGGTACTTATCGATTTCGTCCTTCACCAATAATGAGTATTTTGGGTTGAGCCTGTATTGGCGTTGGCGAACCGGAAATGCCTCGTCCAACAAGTCGATTCTGTGCTCCCCATACCTTGCAGGTATGCCTTTCATGTCTTCAATCTTCCATGCGAAGACATCCTCATACTGGCGAAGAAACGCCTGTACCCTGTTCAACTCTTCTCCTTGTACCTGGCTTGACACCTTCAAGCCTTTATCTGGACTGAGCTGCAGTTCGCATCAGTCACTTGGGTCGACAATCCCCTCTGTGTGACTGATCTCGCTTCTGCCCAGTCCGGCTGCTAGTTGCTATTCGTCATCCGGATGCACATCGTCCCCTTCCTCCTCGATGGAGCAGCAAGTGACGTAACCCACAAACTCATCCGACATTTCTGTCTCTGAAGTGCATGACGAGCTGGTCTCCCCTCCAGTCGTGTAACCGGAGGTGGTCGAAGGTGTTTCGGAGCAGGGAGTGCAGGCCCGACTGAGAACTTAACTGAGACATGTAATAACCCACCAAAGGCTAAAACTGCAGTATGGTGGTAAAAAGATCGAACCCACAGGGACAGAGGCAACACACAGAGTAAAAGTGTCACGTTTAACAGACTTTTGTAGAGTTTGAATTCTAGGCGACTGTCACTCCCAGAAATACTGCAGTGCTCGACTCGGAGGCTCGACTCGGAGGAGGATCTCGACTCGGAGGATGCTCGGAGGATGCACGGTACAGCGTGGTCACTCAACACACACACACACACACACCTGAAACTGGCAAAAAGCACAACTCGGAGGTCGGTCAGGACCTCCGCTTCGGATTTCAGGAGGAAAGTGTCTCAAAAGTTCACTCAGAGGTTCTGCAGGTAGTGCCTCCCACTCCGGTTTTTACTGCCCTTCCGCCAGGAACTAGCGTAGGGTACCCGGACTGGACTTCCCACTTCGGAACGAAGCCTCTTCATACGCCGTGGACGTCACCCTCGACTCACACCAAACGCAGGGAGTGCAGACCCGACTGAGAACTTAACTGAGACACGATCCAGTAACACACACACAACCTGAATTGCAAACCAAGGCTTACACGAAGTAATAAAACTTCACTTTGGCATTCAGGGGAAACTTCCCGTAGGAGTACAATCAGGATATGTCACTCGAAGGAGTAAGGGGGAACTGTTCAAGTCTCTAACTCGCAGCCGGCTCTGAGCATCAGAAATCACCTGCAGGTGCAGATCCGCACTACTGAAGTCTCTAACCGGGTACTAGCTCTGAACATTCAGCCGAAGGCCTTCAACTACAACATACGGTAACTTCGCTATGCTGCAGCTTCTCTACGTGGTGCCAGGACCAAAATGCACAAACACGCCAAGAAAGTGAGTTCCTGATCTGCACTTCCGAAACTGGAAGAGTCCCAAGGCAAAACGCCTTGATCTACTTTATACCCTCAAAGGTCCTAACTAGCACTACGCTATCCTATCTACTACTCGCAACATCTGCGCGAAACCAAACTATACTACTGCACTCGGCGGATCCGGTGCTGCGCCTCCTGCGCGCCGGACTGCTCCGCTCGCTGTCTCTACCTTGCCAGTCTTCCGACCGGCTGCGGAACCCTAGGCGTCCGAGCGCTGTAGTGACTTCCGACTCTAAGTGCGCCATAGTGTCGCGCGCACCCGACAAGAAGGTTTCTAATTTCCTCGCTACTCGCCGCCGACTCCGACTGTCACCCTCCGTCAATGCCGCCGCCCGAAGCTCGAACTCCCTGAGTGTGATCCTCTCTTGAGCTGCCACCTCCCAATGGGCGTATCCTTTTAGACAATGAGTCACCCGCGTCGCCAACTCTTCTCGTGCCTTGCAGCTGCCTTCCACCTCTGCTAGCTGCATTTCCGCTTCCGCACGCTGCGCCCTCAAATCCGAGCACTCGGATTGCAAGTTGCGCAACAACTCCTCATCCTCCTTGCGGGCTCTTTGACTTTCTTCTAAGGCGCGCGTCTGGCGCGCAAGCTCGGCTGCTAGGACGTGGTTTTGTCTCC